ACTGGACCATGTTTGAATTATTTTAGTATTTAACTTCAAATACCAAATGGATATATATTGTTAATGATTGATGTGCGCGTATATTGAAGTGGAAGAGAGAATTTGCATTTCTGATACACGCTGAAATGTGTCACTAAGAATATTTAGAATGCATCCGGATCGTACGAGTACATCTCTTATCATTTTTATGGCAGCTACTGAAGACGCAACATAAGCCTTTGATTGATGGTGATTGAAGTTGCAAAAACTGTCAAAGAGTGTTAATGAAAAGCTTATCCAGAACCATGTTTGAATTACAAGTATTTTAATAGAAGAAGCGAATATTATACTTTTTTTTTAATATTAGAAGCTATTTATCGCCAGTCTGTGGATGCCACAATCATCATCCTGTAATGCTTTAGAAACTTGCCACACAGGCATTGCAGCTGCATGGAGCTTGATGGTTGTCTGCAACCACCGCTGTGGTTAGAGGCAGCCACCAAATGCCGCCTGCCTGCCTGTCTGTCTGTCTGAATTCAACATGCAAATGTGGCCGACAAACTTGCTCGGCCAGTTGGCAATGAGTTTGGCAAATGATTTATTGAAATATTTGTGCGGCATATCGAAATAATAGTCGTAGCAGATATAGCAGCAATAATGGTCGTAAGAAATGCATGCAGGCAGCAAACTTACAATAATAATAATAATATAAAAAAATGCCAACAATTGAACAGAACCCAACAACAAACGAAACAAAACAAAACAACAGGAACGCCAACAGAGCGCAGAGGCGGTAGCAACCAGAGAAGAAAAACTACAAATGGTGGAAAACTTGTTTAACAGCAGCAGCAGCAGCGCACCAGAAGAAAAATGTAGATACAAATAAATAACGAAAACTAAAACCAAAGACAGGCATAGACCCAAGTCGACCGACCGACCGACCGATGAATACGACCGCGGTCAGCCGACCACGGTATGTGGTAGAAGAATTTTCCAGCATTGCAGTTGATGCTGCGGCAACGCACAGTGGTGTACAGGCGTGCGAAAATCTCTTCACTTAAAATGTTTTGTGAATTGCAGTATAGTAATAGGATTGGCTAATAAGTAGAAGTATGGAAACTAAACAAAATACCACTGTACCTATTTTAATATATATAATACAGACTACAACACTCTCTCTACAATATTTATTTCCATTAACTAATCCTATAATTATGTTCAATATATGCAATATGTAATAAAGTACAATCCACCTCTAGTAAATAGTGAAAAAATATTGAAATAGTACTTAAAATATTTAAGCATGGAGCATAAGTACATATCGAGCTAAGAACAACCATGAATCGAAAAATATATACCTATTTATATAAATACGACTACAAAGTCATCGAGTGATCGAGATCGGCAAATAATCAAAACAATAAAATGCCGATAATTTCATAGAACTTCTTATTAAAACTATATGGAATAACGAAATGGTTTCAAGTACTAATAGAGGCGAAGGGGGATACTTCGTTTTATCTTCAACCTCAGCTACTTAGGGAAAGTTAAGTACGCAATAACGTTATCTCAGTATCGAGTAATCGTCGAAATAGTATTTAAAATAAAATAGCAAGTCATCTCAGTATCGAGTAGGTATCGAATTTGTATTTAAAATAGAAATTTAACAACGTCAAGGTTTGTGCCCATAAATCTACAAAAGGGGCGTTTAGTTTATGCTTCTATCTCAACTTCCGAAAGCTAAGTAAATAGCAAAGTCATCTTAGTATCGAGTAGGTATCGAATTTGTATTTAAAATATATAATTGATCGACTTAGATCTCCGCGCCCACGAATCTACAATAAGGACATTTAGATTGTTTTTCAATCTGAATGAAGTACGCAAAGCCATGGTACATAACAAAGTTATCTCAGTATCCAGTTTATTTCTTTATTTATTTATTTATTTCTTTATTTGTTTATTTCTTTATTTATTCATGTCAACAAACATATGACTGTCGACATAGGAGGAACATATATAAAAATTATAAAAAGCATCTTATAAGCTAGAAAAGCCTAAGAAGGAGAAATCTAATCAAATTACAATAATATGTAATTATCTGAAGTTGATATCGAGTTGTTCAGAATTGTCATCGATATCGGGTATATCTCTCTGCGCATGGATCTATAACAAAAGTACGCAGTTCCTTTTTTTTTGTCTCAGTAAAGGCAAGAAGTTTCAATTCCTAATTGTGGCAGAAAGGAGTTGTTTTTTTCGCCAACCTTCGTCATCATCATCATCATCACTGTGCCGCAGTATTGGCGGTGGCAGCAGCGACTCTATCTTGATTGTGGCAACAACAGCAGCAGCAGCAACAAAAATAGTAGCAGCAACAGCATTGAACCAGCTTCACCATTGCACAGTGAGTGGATTTGTAATTTTTAGTGAAGAGAAGGAGTTGAATCGCCAGTTAGTTGCATCGCATCGCATCGCATCGCAACGTTTCCAAACGTGATTTTTATGTTGTTTATGAATTTTGCTTTGATGCTGCGCCAGCATCCAAAGACGTTGTTGTTGCTCTTGTTGTTGTTGTTCGAGTTTGGGTGAATGGTCAAGTCATAAATATAAAGTTGGATGCACGCACAAGCATCGCCAGCCCAGCTAGCAAGAGAGATTGAACTTTTGCAGATGCTGTCTGTTTAATTACCTGCACAACAACAACAACAACAGCAGCAGCAGCAACAACAATAGCAACATCAACAGCAGCAGCAACAACAATAGCAACATCAACCGCTTTAAATAGCGAAAACCTTAATGTTGCTGACGTCGATGCTGGCGCTGACGTAGTCGCTGCCTCGGTGGCTGCCTCAGTCGCTGCCTCAGTCGCTGCCTCAGTCGCTGCTGTCATTCAGTTCAGTTCAGTTGGCGCGCAAAGCAGAGCAGAGAAGAAAATAGAAGAGAGACGCAGTGGAGAGCGCTAGCCGTGAAGCGAATAGCAAGCACCAGCAACGAATTCAGGCCAGCTGACTGACTGATATACTCATACAAATCTATTTATACACAACATATATATATGTATTTGCATTTGTGTGTATGTGTGTGTGTGTGTGTGTGTTTGCACTTGGTTGGGTCGCTTGTGCGCACTGGCTGCTGCATTTTTACAGCCTTTCTATGCGATTCTCATTGTGGTGTTTGTTCATTTGTTCGCACTTCTGCGCTTTTCTCTTTAGCCGCACACCATTCTCACAATTTCCAAACACCCATATACGCTATGCACATACATACATACATACAAACAAATAGTACATATGTATGTATGTATGTTTATGTATGTATTAATATGCGAGTATTTAGCTTAATGCCAAGCAATATTCTGACAGATATCAGCAGTTGTCCAAGCCTTTCTACAAATACGTTGCATGTTAATTAAACGATCTAAGCCGGTGACGATATAGACGGTCGTCTATAAAAGATTTGAGTATTTCCGCATTCTTCTAAAGATAATTGCCACGAACATTTAAACAAATCAAGCAAATTATTAGAGCTTTCTAGTCATCTCCTTCTATGTTTCATTTCTTCTATTGAGAGTCAAAAAATGACTCAATATTACGCAATATCGCAAAAGTCGTTCTATCAAAGAATTCAGAGAGACTATGTTGATGAGAGAGTCCATGAAGAAAGTTCAAACGAATCAAGAAATGAGGCTTACTAATCCTGTATTGCCCAAGTAAGTACCTCAAATCTTCAAATAAGACACATATTTAAAGCATTTTTTTTACCTATATGTTCTAATGCTTAACGATGCTTTTCAACTGACTTTAACATTTCGCCTTATTTGAGCTGGGAAGCTAAGAAATATAATATAGCTTAAAAACAAGAGAGAACGCTATAGTCGAGCAAGTCCGACAGTGGAATACCCTGTACAAGTATCTAGACACACTTCCGTCACTGAGTTATATGCGCCCCCCTAGCAGAAGCAAAAGGAAGAAGGAGAAGAGCGAACTTGATGCTGCAGTACTAGAGTAACATTGTTTCTCTAATAACTGTTCTTAGAATTTACAGATTCAAATGGAATTTAAAACAAAAGTAGATATGCATATATTAATTGCGAGTTTATGGTTATGTAGGTTTGACAATGTGGACAGTATTAGCGAAATTCTATAGCGGGGAGATGGGAGGGAAAATCAAAAATGTAAAATAAACTCGTATAGACTAGGGACTAGAAGCGCCTGCCTACCAAATTTGGTTTCTGTACGCTCAGCCGTTTCCGAAATCCAGGCGTTCATCCAGACAGACGGACGGACATGTCTAGATTGATTTCTCTCGTCATGCTGATTCAGAATATATGTAGTATAGGAGATGCTTCCTTCTGCCTGTTACATACTTTGCACAAACCTAATATACCCTTTTTACCCTACGGATACAGGGTATAATTATGGAAAATAAATGCACTTGCTGTATCCCTAAATGTTCTAACTATTGGTATTTTTTTTAGACTTAAAAACTGTGCTAAGAAAAGATCTCTTGCCTGCATATGCTTATAATTTGTAATACCTTTATAGGTAGTTGTGTAGTGTGTTTCAGGGTCAAGTCCACTCAAGTGGAACGCCACCAGCCACCAGCCCCTAACTCTAACTTGTCTTTGAGGCCCGCTTTCATTCAACAGTCGAAACTTTTTAGCTGAGTTTTTGGACTATCGACTATGCTTTGTTCCTAACCTTTGTAGCTCAGAAGCGAGTCTATTTGTATTTAGTTTTTGACAAGATCAGCGCAAAACTATGCAACTATTCGTTGAGGAGTGGTGAATGCATTTCTCTTGCCATGCCTCACACCTTGAGGGCCCCCACCCCTATGGCCTGCTGCACAGGTGTATATCTATAGTGTGTGTGTGTGTGTGTGTGTGTGTGTGTACTGAAGCGGTGCCCGTGGTTGCGGCTCAAATTTAGAGCGTCTTGCTACCGCGAATACCCAATTGCCACACATGGCAAATTGGCTTAAAATTTCGCAGTTAACGGCGTCTTTCTAAACGTTGCTTGACTTACCTCCTAACTGTTGTTGCTGTTGTTGTATTTGTTGTTGTTGCTGCTATTCTTGTGCCGTTGATGATAATGTCGCTCTCGAAATGTTGCACTCCAGTATTTTCTTAGCTATTGTGTTTTTCTTCTCTTTTCTCTGCAATGCTGCACATGCGATTTTTCAACACTTTGGCTTGTTTTTTATTTATTTATTTATTTTTTTGTTAGCAACACTTTCGTGCATTAGCCAGGATTCGAAAAAAAAATTGATAACAAGTAGAACAATCAATGCGCGTATGAAAAAAAAATTCAACAAAAATGTAAAAATTAATGAAATGTTTTTTGTCGCTCTATTATTGCTATTGTTTTGTTTTCTGTTAGATTTTGGTGTGTGGCTTGCAACCAACTTCGTCGAGCAGCGCGCACAAACTAACAACAAAAACAAACAAGCGAGCGGCAAAAAATTCAAACAACGCAGACATTTCTGTGGCTATGCAAAAAACCGGTTAACGAACAGCGTCGACATGGAGCGATGTCCCGCAGCGCCAGCAGATGGCGCTTGCAACCACATGCTGCCGACCTGCCAACCTGCTTAGCAGTTTTAGAGAGAGGGGAAATCCTTAAAATTCAATTTTAATAAAATAATTTAGAAAATGTACAGAGGGGAAATCTTCAAAATTCAAAATTAATCAAATAATTTAGAAAACATGTGGTTAGGATTTGTCAGTCTTTGAGAAGGGAAATCTTTAAAATCATAATTAATAAAATAATTTAGAAAACATGTGGTTAGGATTTGTCAGTTTTAGAGAGAGGGGAAATCTTTAAAATTCAAAATTAATCAAATAATTTAGAAAACATGTGGTTAGGATTTGTCAGTCTTTGAGAAGGGAAATCTTTAAAATCATAATTAATAAAATAATTTAGAAAACATGTGGTTAGGATTTGTCAGTTTTAGAGAGAGGGGAAATCTTTAAAATTCGTAATTCATCAAATAATTTAGAAAACATATGTTAAGGATTTGTCAAGTTTTGTAGATGATTACTACTATACACTTAATTTTGTTTCTACACGGTAGATTAGTTCCAGAAACAACCGTCTAAGAACAGACATTGATCATATGCAAAAATAGGTGATTGATTCCTTATCTCTAAAGAAATATAAATGCAATTTTTAATTTTCAAACCGTGTAAAAAAAGACCGTGTGAAAACAGAATGAAACAGTGTATAGTGTACTATAATTTAACGCGCTCAAAAGCTAACTTCGTCTACCCGGAAGGGTAATCGAAATGAAAACAACACTTCATTAGTTGACTTCAAATTGTGAGACTCTAGCTATGTATGTATATACTATATACGATTTCATTCTTATTATCTGAACTACTGCAGCAGATCTATTGTGAAGTTTATATTTTTATAATATAATATAATATTTTGATTATATACTTGTATAATACTAAGTGACAAGCAAAAGGAAATTGTTTTTATTAGTTTCAAAGCAAGCTTTAATTATTTTTATTTTCAAAATTAACGAAAAGGTTTCAAACACGCAAATTCTCAGTACAGCAACCAGTTGGTAACATTTTTGCAATTTTCGTCCAAATTTGTATTGCATGTCGCCTTGCAAGCATTTCGAATCACGTAAATTCCACTTGCTGCGCAACGGTTCGTGTATTAGCTTAATAAAGTTGAGGCGGCACCACCTGTTGCACATTTTAAATAGTGCAGCTGTGTAATTGTAACGCTAGGTGGCTCATTTGTTATTAGACTACATAAATATTGGACATTGCTGAAATATCGTATCGTGTCAGTTATATATCTTTTGCAGATTCTACTGCATTGTAGGTAAAATTGTTGAATCCTTTAAATGCATATCAGAAAAAACGCTCCAGGAACGAATAAATCCCTACCAGCGTTGCTGACCGATTGGGGTGCTCGAGCTATGGAAGAAGCCAACAACAAAAGAAAATACTTGTGCTTTAAACAAACCAGTTAAGGAGTAGACAGCGTGAAAATCTCTGCACAGGATCAGCCGGCAAGCTGTCAAACAGCAGTCCAACCAAAGAAAACAGCAGCAGGAGACAATTTTGCAGTACGTCTGACTGGAGCAAAGCCAGTAGTAATCCTTACGATCTGACTGAAATCGGGTCCATTTGGTCCCATCTGACCAAACCACATTCTTCTAATAGTCTACGATCCAATTTGTCTACTCGATGCTCGGAGCTATGAGGAAGATTGTTGTCGATCTTCTGTTATCGTTTTTCCAGACGAGGGCTGCCAGATATTCTACCAGTGCCATCTATTAGCAAGTTTTTCAAACTATTAATCGATTGATTTCATGTACATTAATTGTTTTGATCGAAAAAAATGTTTGCTTCTCGATGAAAAATAAATAAAACGAAGGCGGTAAATCATTTGAATGAACAAATATATTCTCCCTCCCAATCCGCCTATTCGAGCAGCACATTAAAAACAATTTCCGCGCGAATCCAGCGTTTCTGACATTCTGAAAATGATGCAAGTGTTGATCGGACGAGGTGCAGGGGCATTAAAAATTGACAGAGAGAGAGAGAGAGAGAGAGAGAGGGGGACGAGAAGCAGGATTGTGACAGGACGCTCCAAAGAAAGATAGCAACATAAGGAACTCTGGTAATTTTTCCCAGAAACTTCCCAGAACTTCCAAAGGAGATGACAGAGCTAGAAGTGCTGTACGAAGCAGGATAGGAGTAGAGGTGTGGAAGGAGTAGAGATATTTGCTACACCTGTGTTTCTGTTTGTGCGTGTGTGTGTGTGTGTGTGTGTGTTGGTGAGAGTTATAAATGAAATTATGATTTCATTTCAGTTTTCGTGTTCCATGCACAAATATTTTCATACGCACTGTGGTGCGTGCGTGCTCGCTGGCGCGCCCGCCATTTTGTAAAAAGTTTTCAACAATTGCATATTTTTGGTTTCGTTTCATTTCGTTTCGTTTGGCTTTTTATTTCAGTCACTGGCGCTGCCACAAAAGTTAAGGCGCATAACCCGCGGCTTAGCGCGCATAAAACTGCACAATTGTATGTGTGCACGTGTGTGTGTGTGTGTGTGTGTGTGTAAGTGTGCGTTTGTAACATTTCGTTTGGCGCGAAGTTCAAATTAACGCCGGAAGTGCAACGAACAACAAAAAGATAGAATAACTGAAATATGCAAAAAAAAGGAACAAGCAAGAGGCTTGCGCTGCTTTTGATTGTGGAGGCACAGCACGACTATAAAATACCCTCAAATATAATCTTGCAAATACTCTTTAATCTCTAAAACAATAGCACCTGCATATATCATACAAACGATGTCGCAAAATCAAGTTCTAAGTACTTTTTCCCTCTTAAAATTCCCCTTGCAACTTGGGTGAATCTATATAATTAGTATTTATTACTAATTAAGTAAGTCAAGTAGTAAGTCAAGTAAAGGTTTAATGCAAAAACAGTCTTCTTCCCTTGAATGGGACACCGCTTAAGTCTGTTTTCTATCTCCCACTGCGCCCTAACCAAGCATGTTAGAGAACTAATTATTAAAGATAAAGAAAATTCATTAAATTTTTCCATAAAATGTCTACATAATCTATATGTAAGAAAAGAAACCACAATTGAATTTAAATTTCTATCTCAAATATTTGTTATGATCGATTTCCTGCCCATGCCTCAGGCTTGACCGATACAACTAATTAACAACGATTACTTGATTAGTAAAAAAAATATGAAAACTTAGGGAAAAATTCAATAAAATTATAGTTTTCGATTTTACAACATTTATATTCGGTGTGAAAGCCTTATCTTTTAAGCTTGACTTGAAATGCCCCTTTCACAAATTTTTGTTCATCATCGTATGCTTGGTACAGAAATTAAAAAAAAAGTTAAATATACGAATGCAAATCTTATCCGAGCTTGACTCCCAACGATCTGAGAGCTCAGTTGTAGTCCAGAATAAATGTTAGTGATTGGCAGACGGTTTAAGATAAGTCGACTTAGTCCATTTAGTACCATCATAGCTGTATTTGTATACTCTGTACAGGAAATGTCCAAAAGTATAATAGGTTTGCGAACTGAAAAATGTAACAGGCAGAAGAAGGCGTGGCAGCCCCCCTGCCCCCCTGTGTGACCGACCGTACGACCACGGATCTCGGAGATTATATAAGAGCTAGACACCAAATTTTACACAAAGGGCCCATATTTTTGTACGCTGTGCAATTTTGTTTTATTTTTTTGATCCCCCCACTTCCCTCCTATGGGGTATTATCGAAAACGACGTTCGTATAATCGTCTATATCTCGTAGACTATGAGACATAGGGTCACCAAATTTTAGTCCCAGATGCCTTATGTGAATACGCAGATAATGTGCGTTTTGGAATTTCCCTTCCCTTCCCGATTCAACAGGAAATTATAACCATATATGTGTGTATATATGACAAAGCAGTGCCCGCAGCTGTTGTTGTTGTTGCTGCTTTGCACAGGCGCACAAGACATATAAAGACACACACAAACACGCATAGACATGCACAGACATGCATAATTATTCTACACATATGTACGGAGTATTAGCTTCTCCACTTGTTTTTAAAGTGTCGTTTTGGAGCTTATTTACTTAGGGTACATATAGGCTATGGAAAACAAGGAAGAAAAACTTGGTACAGCCAAACAGGCTGGAACCATCATGTTCAAGATTTAAAGAACACGCCAGAAGAGGGCCTGTTGACCAACCAATTATACAGTATTAAAGGATGTATCAGACCTACTCCAGAACTTACTGAACAACAATTTGGCAAACACTTATCTATGATGGGAGGGTGCAGTATAGGGTATTCAAGTGCCAGCCGCTAAATGCAAATCTGCACTTTAAGGAACTGCACGTAGAGTGTTGAGGGGCGAGTGGGTGGCAGAAAGGGTTTGTGTGTGTGTGTGTGATAAACGAACTTGAATACTTTTTGACAGTTGCGCGTATAAATCTTGAAATGTTTTAATTTGGTCGCGAATCGATTTTAAAGCCAAGCAGGCGGCCCAAAAATAAAGGCGAGCGCGAAAAACAAAAAGACCAAAGAAAAGGAGCCAAAAAAAAGAAGCGGAAAGCACGTTGAAGATGAAGAACAAAAAGTTCCAGAGCCAGGAACGT